ATAGGCGATCAATGCGCCCTGAGCGTCGGGCTCAAAGAGAAAATAGAGAATACCGGGTCTGTCTGCCACAAGAGGACGCAGGTCCGCCTCAAAGTGGATCATCATATTGTGCTGAAGGCCCTCGGGACCCTCCAGGTCGATCCCAAGAGCCGAGCGGATGGGTGAATTTGCACCATCGGCGGCAATCACATAGCGACAGGAAATTTTCTCTGCCTCAGTTTCGGCGGAAGTTACGGAGGCCATCACTCCATCAGCGGTTTCCGTCACACTCAAACATTCAGTTCCCCGAAGGAGCGTCACCTGCGGGCAGCGGAGCAACTCAGCCTCCAGCAGTTCCTCAAAATCAGGCTGCGCGATATTGGACAGTGGGAAGGGCGTGAGATCCTTTACGTCATCCTGCTGCCGTTCATAGGGCAGATGCCCGAAATGAGCCCCGGTGAGCGTTGAGACAAAGCGGACCCATCCTGCTTCATCGGCGGGTGCGCCGGTATTGCGTATTTTTTCCGCCGATACCCCAACTGCCTCGCAGATCTCTAGTGTTCGGGAGTTCACCGCATGTGCTTTGGGAGCCGTCAAGCGTGTTTCACGGCGATCAACAATGATGGACTGAACGCCCTGGCGCGCCAGCAGAAGCGCGGCCATTTGTCCGACGGGACCGGCGCCAACAATAAGAACTTGCGTTTCCAACATAACGTCTCCATAAATGAGAGAACTCTCAAAAATGAGAGATATGTCAAAAATGGAAATGTGTCAAATCGTGAGCGTTTCTGGGGTCTAATGGGCCCAATTGACCTGAAAGGAGAGTCGCACGTGTCGTCACAGGCGCTATTTCGAGACCAGAGCAAGGGTTTGCCCAAACGGGACCGGACACGGTTGGCGCTGATTGACAGCACGGTGGAGGTGATCGCGCAGAAGGGCATGGATCTCGCAAAGATCAGCGACATCACGGAGCATGCGGGGCTCGCCAATGGGACCTTTTACAATCACTTCGCGGATAAGGATGAAATCCTGACCGAAGCAGCCCAACGTGTCGCTGTTGAGATGGCGCGCGAGATCGACAATGAGATGAGGGCTGTGGACAGCGCGGTTGCTCGGATGGTTACGGCGACAACGCGTGCCATCCGCATGGCGGTTAGTGAGTCTGCTTGGGGCGCCGTGATCATTGGCGCGCTTCAGCACCTGCCTCCGGTTCGCGGAGACATCCTGCAGTTTCTCAGAGCAGATCTGCAGCTAGGTGTCGACCAGGCAATGTTCGACATTGAACTAGATGAGTTTTTCTTAGATCAGATCGCAAGCCTGATCATTGTCAGCATCCGGACCCAAATCGAAACCGGGGCCGACCCTGTCAAAACTGCCAGGACCTGTGAGGGCCTCTTGCGCCTTTGTGGGCTCACGCCAGCGAAAGCACAAAAAGCAGTCGCCACCCATACGCCAGAATGACAGCGACCGGGGCAATTTGTTTCTCGGCCGCGCACTGCCTACCATGGGCGAAAGCTGGCCGGGAGGGCGCAAGATGATTCAACAACTCAAAATGATATGTGTCCGGACGTCTGCCTGTCTGACATTGATGTTCCTTTGGGGAGGGGTACCTGGCGCCACAACGGCCAGTGCGGAAGAACTGAAATATGTGGAAGCCAATGGCATCACCTTCGCTTATCTGGAAGAAGGCGTAGGGCCGCTGGTGCTTCTGTTTCATGGATATCCCGAGACCGCCCGCAGTTGGGCGTCTGTGCAATCGCGCATTGCCGGGGAGGGCTACCGCGTCGTGGCACCGTTCACGCGGGGCTATCCGCCCACAACCGCGAGCGAGACGGGAGACTATAGTGTACGCGCCTTAGGGCAGGACGCGTTGGCGCTGATTGATGCCCTGGGAGAAGAGAGCGCAATTCTGATCGGACATGATTGGGGAGCTTCAACGGTTTACGAGGCGACCACTGCCAACCCCTCGAAGGTTACGAAGCTGGTTGCCCTCTCCGTCCCCCATGCACGGGCGGTCGCGGACGATCCCTCGATATTTCTCGAGGCCCCGCATTTTCTCTACTACCAACTGCCCTTCATTCGCGAATGGGTGGCCATGAATGATTTTTCCCACATCGATGGGATCTATCAGGCTTGGGCCCCCACCTTCGATGTGCCGGAAGCGGAGCTTGCAGATATCAAAGCGACAATGGGGGAGCCAGGTGCCCTGGATGGGATACTTGGCTATTATTGGGCTCTCTTCGACGGCGATCTGAATGAAGGGCGCGCGTCTTCAGCGGAGTCAGAAATCATTGTTCCGACTTTGGTGATCGCGGGTGATGCTGATGGCGCCGTGTCAATTGAGCGCTACGCTCTTGCAGAGCCAGCTTTCACCGGTGGCTATCAATTCGAAGCCCTAAACGACATCGGCCACTTTCCCCAGCTTGAAGCACCGGAAAAAGTGGCCGACCTCATTGTCGATTTTCTCAAGGACTAGCTTGCGAGTTTCACGTCCATTGTGTTGCGCAATTCTTTCTTGAGGAATTTGCCGCTCGCGTTGCGTGGCAGGTTTTCTGCCTGGGTCCAGATGTAGCGCGGGATCTTGTAGGCTGCGAGCTTCTCTTTGCAGAACGCCCGGAGTTCTTCTGCCGAAACAGTCTTGCCTGTAGCAGGAACGATCACGGCACCGACTTCTTCGCCCAGGCGGTCATCAGGCACCCCAAAGACGACACATTCAGCAACCGCCTCATGCTCGAAAATCGCGCTCTCGACTTCAGAACAGAACACGTTTTCACCGCCACGCAGTACCATGTCTTTGGCGCGGTCGACGATGAAGATGAACCCGTCTTCGTCGATCTTCACAATGTCGCCGGTCCGCAGCCATCCATCCTGAATGGCTTCAGCTGTAGCTTCTTCCCGGTTGAGGTAGCCCTTGATAACCGGCGCTCCACGTACACACAGCTCGCCTGCTTCACCAGGCTTCACTTCGTCACCATTGGCATCAATGCACTTGGTTTCGAAGACAGGCATGGCCCGCCCCGCACTTGCAGGCTTGTCGACGAAATAGTCGGCGCCAACAGATGTGATGATGCCGCAGGTTTCAGTCATGCCATAGCCGGTTGAGGGCCGCGCATTTTCCATTGTCGTGTCGAGCTTGCCGACCAGGTCAGGTTGCAACTGAGCACCGCCACCCCCGATGGAAACCATGGTTGAGGTGTCTGTCGTTGCAAAGTCGGGATGTGCGATGATCTCTCGAGACATAACCGGCACACCGCTCAGATGGGTGATCTTTTCTGCTTCGATGAGACGAAGCGCTTCGCCCGCATCCCAGCGATACATGTGCACGAGCTTCCCGCCACTGACCGTTGCCGCTTGGGCCACGCAGTTATTGGCTGTGACGTGGAAGAGTGGTGTCGCTACCAGCGCAGTCATGGCCGCAGGCTCAGTAGCCTGGAGTTCTTTGACCGCTGCCTCGCCTTCGACCATAGCAAGGGCAAGCCCCTGACACTGGGCAGAGAAGGCGATGTTCATGATATTATTCACGCACCCACGATGGGTAAGCTGGGCACCCTTTGGGCGACCCGTCGTGCCGGATGTATAGAAGATGCAGGCATCATCATCTGGCGCGATGGTGACATCGGGCATGTTTGGCGTGGTTGCTTTCACGTCCGACCATGGCGTCACGCCTTCAGTTCCTTGAAGGGCTTCTGGCAGGCGAACACCAGCGACCTTCATATCTGGGAAGGCGTCGCGGACCTGCAGAAAGCGCTCAAGGCGTTCACCATCTGCGATCAAGACTTTCACGTCTGAATCTTCAAGGCCGTATTTCATTTCATCCGGCACCCACCAGGCATTCATGCCGACAGCTACGGCGCCGATTGAAATGATCGCCCAATAGGCAAGCATCCACTCTGGATAGTTGCGCATGGCAATGGCGACGCGGTCATGTTGTCCAATGCCCTGGGCAGTCAGCCATGCAGCAATCGCAGCCACTTCATTGTGGGCTTCGGTATATGTCCACCGCTCGTCCTGATAAACAAGATGGTCCTTGTCGCCATGGGCGGCAGTGAGCAACCAGATATCCCGCAGGCTTGCGGGCGCATGTTTGAACGTTTTGATGGTCCGGCCGAGCGCGTCAACGGTATCGACTTCGAACATTTGTCCTGGCTGCGTCAATTCAGTCCACGCAGCATCCAATTCTTTATACATAGGCTGGAAACCTCCCCAGGTTTTCGTTTTCACATCGATACCCGGAATTGCGAGCAAAAACAACGAGATCGAGCAAAAGAGCAGGACACAATGTGGATTTTTTCCACTCAGTGCCCCGTCTCTTGGATTGTCACAAGATAGATCTTAAGAAGTCAGGGCGAACTCCTGGAAAAGCACCCCGCATTCATAGGGCTTGGACAAGGTTAACCGGGCGGAGATTGGCCGATCGTGGGGCCCAAACAGCCTAACCCCGGAACCATAGAATATCGGTGCCCGCTTCAATCGCAGCAGATCAATGCGGTTGTGCGATAAGAGCCAACCGGCAAAACCGCCCCCACCGCACAGATAGATGGGACCGGGGCAGGTTCGCTTCAGCGCATCAATCCGATCGAGCGGAGCACGCTCAACAGTCTCAACCTCCGAGTTCTCCGGAAGAACGATGGTCTCGGAAAAAACCAGGGATTGCATGGCCGGATAGGGGTTAGCGCCAGGCGGCAGCCCATGGCCGTAGCCGAACTCATAGGTTCGCCGACCCATCAAGGCACATGAATAGGTCGCCATCCGCTCAAGATAGTCGTCAACCACGGGGCCGGAATGGGGAAAAAGAGATACGTCGTCGGACGCACCACAGATGAAACCGTCCGCCGAAACGGCGACGTCATAAACAATCGGTTGCATGAAAGCTCCAAAGATTAAGTAGCCAGAAAGTGCGGGCGGCCCGGATGCGGCGCCCGTTTTTGCGAATTTTCTGGTGGTTACTTGATCACTGTCAGAGCACTCCCAAGAGAAGGTATGACTATATCACAGCCTCTCTATTGGGAAAGATGGCAAATCTAGGCCTCGCGAACAGCTTCTTCGGTCCAGTAGCGGATCTTGTCGAGCAACTGATCAATGGCGACCGGTTTTGCGAGATAGTCGTTCATGCCGGCATCAATACAGCGTTCGCGGTCACCCGCCATGGCACTCGCGGTGATGGCGATAATGGGTACGCTGGCAATCTCGCCACCGAGCTTGCGAATGCGTTTTGTGGCTTCGATGCCATCCATATGAACCATCTGCACGTCCATGAGTACCAAATCATAAGGAAGCGAACGCGCGGCGCTTACAGCCTCGCGGCCATCGCCCACCGTATCCACAGTCACCGGGTGTTTCTCCAGGGCGCTCTGGATGAATTTCAGGTTGGTGGGATTGTCATCTGCAAGGAGAATGCGACAGCCTGCGCCGTCACCGGATGGTCTCTTGGGCGCGGGCGCCTTTTTCTGGACCTTCTTGGAGGCCTTTGCTTTTGTCGGCAGGTTTTCGAAGAACCGGTTGAGTGTGTTAATCAGGCGTCGCTGACTTATGGGCTTGGGCGCAATTGCATCAAAGCCCCAGTCCTCTGCCTGGCTTGCCGTGGCAATGCCGGAAGACGAGAGGATGAGTTTCACAGGCTTAACCTCGGCATCATCCTGAAGCTGAGCGGCGAGCTGAACGCCGTCCATGCCGGGCATCATATGATCGATAATGACCGTCTCAAAGGGTTTGCCCTTTTCCTGGGCTGCAAGAATAAGATCGCGGGCACCGAGGGGATCGTCGATCGTTTCCACGCGGCACCCATAGGCTGCCAGCATAAGACCGATAACGCGCAGATTGACTTGATTGTCATCGACAACAAGGAGGCGACGCCCGCGCAACGTCTGGGCATCGTCGGAGTCGAGATAGCGCTCATCACCATCATCTGCTTCCAGGACGATACGCGCCTTAAACGTACTGCCTTCACCAATCTCGCTCTGAACCTCAAGTGTCCCTTCCATGAGCTCCACAAGGTCGTGGCAGATGGAAAGGCCAAGACCGGTGCCGCCAAACTCGCGCGTGGTGGAAACATCGGCTTGCGTGAAGCGCTCAAAAAGTTGGGCCTGTTGTTCAGGGGAAATTCCCATGCCCGTGTCGCTGACACTGAAAAGAACAGCGACCTTGTCACCTGGAAGGCGGTCTTCCAGGCGCACCTCAAGGGAGATGCCACCTTCTTCTGTAAATTTGATCGCATTGCCAATAAGGTTGACGAGGATCTGGCGGATGCGCCCCTGGTCTCCGATCAGAGAGACGGGAATGTTCGGGTCCACATAGGACGCAATTTCAAGATCTTTCGACTGAGCGCGCACGGACATCAAAGCCATGACGCTACGAATGAGCCGTTCAATATTAACTTCGGTTTCGTCCAGATCGAGCGCACCGGCTTCAATCTTTGAGACGTCCAGGACGTCGTTCAGGATTGAAAGAAGAGATTCACCGCTCTCGGCAATGGTCTCAACATAGTCTGACTGGCGCTCATCAAGGTCCGTATCTTTAATGAGGCTCGCAAATCCCAACACAGCATTAAGCGGTGTGCGGATCTCATGGCTCATATTTGCAAGAAACTGCGACTTGGCCCGCGACGCGGCCTCTGCCTCTTTCTTCATGTCTTTAAGCTCTTGCTGTCGCACCAGCTCGTCGGTCATGTCGATAGATGTGCCGACCCAGCGATCACCCGTCATAGGTCTGTGGGTAATCAGGAGTGTGCGGCCGTCAGGCATGGCTGTCTTCAGGGGCTCGCCGTCCAGCAGCATTTTTACCGCAACTTCTGCAAGCTCATCCAGACCGTCATCTTCGGAGTATTTTGTGAGGCTCACCAGGGAGGCCAGCATTGCATCCTTAAATGTGCCGCCAGCTTCAATAACGTCGTACCAGTCCTTAAAGTCTGTTCGCGCTTGTGCATTGGCGTAGAGCACACGGAATTCGCTGTCATAGATGGCAAAGCCGTCATCGAGAGCCTCGATGGCTTCCGAAAACAGCGCCTCAATGTCACTGGCGCTCGCATTACTGGCGCTGTGTTTTGCAACGGCCTCGACCATCTCACTCCCCCGAGAATTCAGGGGTGTATTTAGTCAGTACAAGGTTAAAAAAGGTAAAATCCGGCTTCTGTTAGGCCTGTCAAATCGTCCCGAAACTGAGACAATCTCGAATATTCCCCTGAATTCGCTGTTTTTGCATGCTCCGGGGTCAGAGCAAATCCGAGTCTGAGATGATTTCCACCAATGCAGGTCCGTCGTACGCCAGGGCCTCCTGGATCGCCTGGGCGAGTTCTGCCTTGTCAGTCACCTTAACGCCGTGACCCCCACAGAGCCGCGCATAGGCAGCGAAGCTGGGATTGTGCAGCGTGGTTTGCCAGACCGGCCATTCACCTGCCTTCTGCTCTTTGGAAATTTTTCCAAGTTCGGAATTGTTGAGCAGGATGTGGGTGATATTCATCCCGTATTTCACGGCAGTGGTGAACTCCGCCATATACTGTCCAAATCCACCATCGCCGGAGACGGAGACGACTGGACGGCCCGCATATTCAGGGAAATCCTGAACCGCTGCCCAGGCGCCCATCGCCGCTGGGAACGAGAAGCCAATAGAGCCCAGATATCCAGACATGAGGACGTCCTGGTCGGTGCACTCAAAATAGCGCCCGAAGGAGTAGGTATTGTTCCCCACGTCAACGGCAATGACTGCATTTTCGGGGACAAGCTCCGTAAGCGACGCAAAAATGCTGGCTGAATTAAGGCCGTCGCCTCGATCATCCTGAGCGCGGCTCTTCTTTTCGTCGCGCCAGATTTGCCAGCGTTCAGCGATCTCCCGTGTCTGGTCTTCTGCGGTGAGGGTCTTTGGCAGTCCTGCCTCAAAAGCGGCAAGTGCCTGCCCAATGTCGCCGAGCACCGGGCAATCGACAGGGTGTGTCTTGCCAAGATGCATGGGATCAAAGTCCACCTGGACAATGGGCTTCGATTTTTCGATGCCGGTATGATCGGAGAATGAGCTGCCAAGGGCGATCAGCAGGTCTGCTTCATTCATGAACCAGCTGGCAATCGGTGTGCCGGAGCGTCCGAGCACACCAGCCCCACAAGGATGCTTGTCGGAGATCAGCCCTTTGGCCTTGAATGTGGTGAGCACCGGTGCGTTGAGGCGCTCGGCAAAGGCAATGACCGCGTCAGACGCATCGCGCGCGCCATAGCCAGCAATAATCACGGGACGTTTGGCTTTTGAAATCAGATCGATCGCTTGAGCGATAGAAGCATCAGACGGTGTCACAGCCATATCCCCCAGACGACCATCCGGACTGCCTGCTTCGACGCTTTCGTCTGCAGGGATTGTCTGCACATCGTCCGGGAAGATGAGATGGGACACATCTCGATTAAGAATTGCGCTGCGACAGGCAAGCGTCATCAGTTCCGCATGTTTGGAGGAGTGTAAAACTGTTTGCGAGAAATGGGCGACACTCTCAAATGCAGAGGCGAGATCGATCTCCTGGAATGAGCCTGGGCCAAGCACCTGAACATTCACCTGCCCTGTCAGCGCAAGCGCAGGTGCCCGGTCGACTTTCGCATCCCACAAACCGGTAAGAAGGTTGGTGGCACCTGGGCCTGCAATGGCAAGACAGGCAGCAGGCCTGCCGGAGAGTTTCGCATAGCCTGAACAGGCAAAGGCGGCAGCACCCTCGTGGCGAATGCCGATATAACCGAGTTCGCCGTCCCGCTCTTTCATCCGCAACGCTTCGGCGACGCCAAGATTGGAATGGCCCACCATGCCGAAGACGCGTTTCACGCCCCAATTGACCATCGTGTCGGCCATGACATGTGAGATCGTGCGCGGGCTTTCAGGTTCTGCGGGTACTTCCACATAAATCCCGTCATCGCGCACTTCAACAGGATACATTTGCTGGCCGGTATCTTCGTGACCCCCCGGAGGTTTGCCGGTCAAGGGGTCAAAATCCCACCCATGCCAGGGACAGCGCAGCCAGCACTGGCCATCAATACCGTCTTCAATCGAGCCTTCGCCGAGCGGCCCGCCCTGGTGGGGACAGCGATTGTCCATGGCGGCGTACTGCCCGGAAAAATGTGTCAGCGCGAGAGAGAGCGTGCCTGCTGTAACAGTCATGACGCGACCTTCTGCGAGGTCGTCGACTTCAGCCACTTTGGCCCAGCTTGTTTCGGTATTTTCAGCAGTCATGAATGCCTCCCAGCGCCCTTATGTTCCCAGACATGATCTGGTGTCTTGTCGGATCATTGGAGGGGATGTCAGTATGGCCGTCAAATCACACTTATTTGGGAACGCGTTACTTTGACCTACGACCACTTCACATTGCCGACATCTCCAAATGATCAGTGTCCGGTGGTTCATCGCTGGCAGGGCGAAGAAGACCCCCGCGCCATTCTCGTGATTGCTCACGGCATGGGCGAGCACGCGCTGCGTTACGCCCGGTTGGCGGAGGCAATGAACGCTGTCGGCTTTGTTGTCTATGCCAATGATCACCGCGGTCACGGCGCAACCGTGCCCGATGCCTCAAAATTGGGCGACTATGGGGAAGCAGGCTGGCGCGGTCTTGTGGATGACGAAAAAGAAGTCATCGCGCGTGCGAAAAAAGACTTCCCCGGATTGCCGGTCGTTCTGATGGGGCACTCAATGGGGTCCATGGTGGTGCAGCACCTGCTGACCGAAGTCAGCGAGCTGATTGACGCGGCTGCATTGAGTGGGACCACCGCTGTAGACGTGATGGCTGCGGCAGTGGCTGACCCAGACGCGAATGTTTTTGAAACATTGAACGCTGCGTTCGCTCCAACCCGAACAGAGTCGGATTGGTTGAGCCGTGATGACGCCGAGGTGGACAAATATGTCGCTGACCCTCTGTGTGGCTTTACGGTATCTGATGCCTCCTCCGCCTCGTTGGGCGAGGCAGGTGTCGCCTATTCGACGCCCGAAGCTATTGGCCAGGTTCGCAAAGATCTGCCTCTCTATATCTTCTCTGGTGACCTCGATCCGGTGGGATTGAATGGCGAATTGGTCAACCTTGTTGCAGAGCGATATCGCGATGCGGGGATTCAGAAATTAGATCTAAAGATCTATAAAAATGCCCGCCATGAACTGTTCAATGAGACGAATCGCGCGGAAGTGACCTCTGATTTCGCCGACTGGGCGAAAAAATCAATTGGGTTAGGCTGAGAATTCTAATTTCCAGGCCCAAGGCTGGTAAATCGCAGAAATCTCCCCATTTTTACTGGGTATTTGGCCCGGAAATCATACCGCTTGGACGTAAAATGTGGCGTTTGATTAACATATTTGACGCGTAATTTACATGAAGCGTGCCAAATGGGGCTAGCATGCGCTCTATTCGCACTGCACAATTGTTGCAGATGTAAACAGTCGGAGATCGCTTCCAGATGAAGAACGCGCAAAAGAGGATGGACGACGCCACCACTTATGCTGAGTGGAAAGAAGCGGCACACGAACACGATGTGCTGTCCGGTGCTGAAGACTGGAAGCGACAGGAACACACAAGCCGCTACGACTATGCGACCATCCGCGAACGTATTCGCGAGATCCGCAAGGCCCGGGATACGGGCGATGACCGCGCGCTTCTGTTTGCATTGAACGAAGGCATTCATGGCAATCTTGGCGGTATGGGCAAGGCCTCGCTCTATACGCGTTCAAAAGTGGGCACAAAGCGTCTCATTACTGACTATGTAGATGAGGTAACACGCTCTCTCATTCACATTTCAAAGGTGCGCTCCAACGTCATTACCAAAGCGGAGAAGCTCGACTTCTTCCATAGAGCAAGCCATTGCTTCGGGCGGTCTGCTCTTATGCTGAGTGGGGCGGGTGCCCTTGGGCCATTCCATATCGGCGTGATCAAAACCCTGGCGCAGGAAGGCCTGCTGCCGCGGGTCATCTCCGGATCAAGTGCGGGCGCTTTGACCGCAGCGGTGATGGGGACCCATTCTGACGAAGAGCTTGTTCCCTTCTTTGAAGCAGACATAGAGCTGGAAGCGACAATCGAGGAAGCGAATGTGACCTCCGTGCTGGGGTGGCGTGACCGCATCCAGACAGAGGATTTGCGCGAGATGGTTGAGGCCTGGATACCGGACCTCACATTTGCCGAGGCCTTTCAGCTCACCGGTCGCCACATCAATGTCTCTGTTGCGCCGACCAAGAAGATGCAGGCATCACGCCTCTTAAACGCAATCACTTCGCCAAACGTGCTGGTGCGCGAGGCCGTAATGGCGTCTTGCGCAGTGCCAGGCGTGTTTCCGCCTGTCATGCTGATGGCGCGCGACGCGGATGGTGAAAAGCAGCCTTATCTCTCGGACATGCGTTGGATCGATGGGTCCGTCACCGACGACATGCCGGCAAAGCGCCTGGCCCGCCTCTATGGGGTGAACCACTTCATCGCCAGCCAGACCAATCCGATCATCCTTTGGACAATACAAAACCCAAATGGTGAAAGCGGCTTGTTTGGTCACCTTTGGAATCTGGGCAGCAGGGCCACCAAAGAATGGTTCCGCGCCACCCGCAATTTCTCTGATCAGGTGACACGCAGCCTGCCAAGCGTGAATTCTGCGCTCAACATGTTCCACTCCGTGGCGCTTCAGGAATATACCGCAGACATCAACATCATCCCGCGCCGTCGCTTTTGGGATCCGCGCAAACTGCTGGCTCCGCTCGACCGTGAAGAGATGGAATATCTTATCGCGGAGGGCGAAGCTGCGACCTGGCCGCAGGTGGAGATGATCCGCAATTGCAGCATGATCAGCCACACGCTGGACAATCTGCTTGAGGAAATTGAAGGTGACGTGGTTGGCCTCTATCGACCAACGGCCACCCCTGTCGGCACCAAAGCAGTCGCTTAACCAGGGTCTGCTTCTGATCCAGCGGCCATTCTGAGCAAACCTCGGAAGGCCCGTTGCGGCGTCGCGCCGTTCTGCACCACGTTAAAGACCTCCTCGGCGATCGGCATGGTGACGCCGGCTTCCTCGGCAATCTTCATCACCACTGGCGCACTCTTTACGCCTTCAGCAACCATGTGCATTTCGTCGATGATTTGCTCAAGCGATTGGCCTTTGCCGAGTTTTTCCCCGACATGACGGTTCCGGCTTTGTGGGCTGGTGCAGGTCGCAACGAGGTCCCCCATTCCGGCAAGGCCTGCAAAGGTTTCTGCCCGTCCGCCGAGCGCTTCCCCAAGTCGGGTGAGTTCAGCAAGACCCCGCGTGATAACGGCAGCGCGGGTATTGTCGCCAGCGCCCAATCCATCACCCATGCCCACGGCAATCGCGATGATGTTCTTTAAGGCGCCGCCCAGTTCGCAGCCGATCAGGTCATTATTGGTGTAGACGCGGAAGAGGCCGGATTGAAAGACAGACCGGAGAGAGTTGCAGACGGTTTCGTCTTCCATGGCGAGCACACTCGCCGCTGCCGACCCCGCCATAATCTCGCGTGCGAGGTTGGGTCCGGTAAGCACACCTGGCGGGTGACCGGGCAGGACCTCGGAAATGATTTGGGTCATGCGGAGCGACGTGCCCTGTTCCAATCCTTTTGACAGGCTGATCACAGGGACCCAGGGACGGACGAAGGGCTTGGCGTCTTCAAGCACTTTTCGGAACTGTTGAGAGGGGATGCCCATCACAATGACGTCTGCATCGGACACGGCTTCTTCCAAAGACGTGGTGGCGCTCAACGTTTCCGGCAGCTTGGCGTCGGGCAGATATTTCCGATTGGTGTTGAGGACATTAACTTCCGTGGCCGCATCCGGGTTCCGCAGCCAGAGCTTGGTCTCAGCATTGCGGGCGACAAGCGCGGCAACAGTTGTGCCCCAGGACCCGCCCCCTAGCACGCTGACTTTGAGATGCATCGGGTTATTGCGCTCTTGGCGGTTGCGGATCTGGTCGTTCATATGGATGGCGTCTCCCTTTACCAACTTGTTTTTAAGGATGTTAAGCGTAAGTCACAGGCTCTGCCAACCGAGGTAAGGCGGTCGGGGGCGGAAAAATGTCTTAAATACGGGAAGTTGCACTGGCATAAGGTAAGTCTCTCTGTGTACGATCAAAGGCAAGACGGGCAAGCGATTGACGAATTGTCAGTTGTGGGGAGCTGATCTTGCTGGGGACGACAAGAACACGCCTGAAGGAAGGGCTCCATGCGGCGCATATCAAATACAGACGCTTCGTTTTTCTACGCAGACACCCAGCGCACACCGAGTGTCGTGGGCGGGTTGATGATCTACGATCAATCGACGGCTGGTCGTGGAAAAGTACGCTTCAAGGAGATCCTCTCCTGGATAGAGGACCGTCTCCATCTTTGGGGCCCGTTCACGCAGCGCCTGGTGCGGGTGCCGTTCGATCTTGATCTGCCTTACCTGGCTGAAGATCCCAATTTTGACGTGGAATTCCATGTCCGCCACCTGTCATTGCCGAAGCCGGGTGACTGGCGTCAGCTTTGTATTCTCGCATCGCGTCTTTACTCGCGCCCTCTCGACATGAACCGTCCCCTTTGGGAGGTGAACGTCATTGAGGGGCTGGACAAGGTTGAGGGGCTGCCAAAGGGCAGCTTCGCTGTGTTGGTGAAACTCCATCACATGGTGGTCGACGGAATGGGGACGGTGTCGCTATTGCAGGCACTCCACTCAGATACAAAGGTCGCAACACCACCCCGCGCCCCGGTTAGGGACACCGGCAGCGTTAAGCCGCTGCCTGGTGATATGACGATGATTACCAAGTCGCTGCCCTCGCTCGCGCGGCAACCGTTGACGACAGCGCAGTCGGCTCTCTCGCTGGTGAGGGGCGAACTGAAAGCCCGGCGGCTCAAGTCTGAAAACAATGTGGCGAGCGCTCCGTCAGCGCCTATGACCCGTTTCAACAAAGAAGTCTCGCCTTACCGCGTCTTTGAGGCGGTCGATTTCAAACTGGATGATTTCAGGCACATCAAAAAGCTGGTGGAGCGCGCCTCAGTGAATGATGTGGCTATTGCCGTCTGCGGTGGCGCAATGCGTCGCTATCTCGCGGCGACAAACGAACTACCAGATGAATCGCTGGTCGCCATGTGTCCCATTTCCGTGCGGACAGGACCCGCGGGCATGGAAGCGGGCAATCAGATCACAGATATGACGGTCGCCATGGGAACGGACATTGCAGATCCTCTGCAGCGGCTCCAGGCGGTGAAGATGCGCACCGATGATGCCAAGCAGCTGGCCCAGACCCGTGGTTCGGAAATGCTGGAAAGCGTGATGGGGCTTGTCAGTCCCGCAACCGCTTCCTGGTTCTTCCGGTCAGCTGAAGGCATGAAGTGGATTTCCCGCATCAAGCCGGTCTGCAATACGTTTGTCTCAAACGTGCCGGGCATCCCTCATGACATGTATTTCTCCGGCGCCAAGCTCGTCCGGTCTTATGGTCTGGCACCGCTCGGCGACGGCATGGGGATTTTCCACGCAATCACCGGTTACCAAGATCAATTGTCGGTCTGTGTCACGGCCGACAGAGAAATGCTGCCTGACCCGTCTTTCTATGCGGAATGTGTGCAGGCATCGTTTGAAGAATACAAAGCACTGGTTGAAGACGACGATGGGGAAGATCAAACAGTCGTCTATCTTGAATAGGGAGAGAGGTTTCCTGAAGGGAGACCTGGAGGAGAAAGTGTGTCGGAAAACGTCGTAGTGCAGATGCCGGAAAGGGAAACGGAAACCGTTTTCCTTGTGGAGGCCGGCAGCTCGTTTGAGCTCAATTGCATTCGTAAGTGGATTGAAGAACATCCGCGCCATTCTGAAAGTGACGCCAAGCTCGTCGTGATCGGCGATGCGCGCGATGGTGGTCACAAAGAACTGAAAACGCTGATGGATGGTGGCGATATTTCAGGCGACCCCTGGCTGCAGCCACTGCGGGTCATCTGGAAGCCCAGCGAGGACGTGCGCCACGGCAAGTCATTTGTGAACACCTGGCTGGCGACCGTATTTGAGAAGCCTGGCCGCATCCGACAAAAACTGATGGGTGGCTCCGCGCCAGACAGATTGCGGGTGGCGGAAGGACAAGGTGCTTTCTTAAGTACGGTTCGAGAACGCTTTGACGAGACCTGGGGGTCAGAAGGTGTCCGGACGACCCGGTTGCCGGAATTCGTTGTGCGTCAGGCGGTGATTGCCCTTGATCGCGCGGAGCGCAGCATTCGCGGTGCGCGCTACAAGGTTGCACGCCTTTTGATGGGAGATGTCGTCTCCAGCCCGTCTTTCCAGCGGGACCTTGGCGCTCTCGCAGGAACATTGGGTCGATCTCTCTCCGAAGTTGAGACAGAGACAAAAACCTATCTGGACGAAATGAGTGCGCGCCAGACGCCCGTATCTCTCGACATTGCCATGGGGCTCTACCGTCGGGCCTGCCGCAGTCATCACGACGGCAACATAGACTATGTTCCAGAAGAGCTTGAGCGGCTCCGTCAATGGATGGAGGAGGGACCGGTCGTTTTGCTGGTCACACATAAATCCATGCTGGACACCATGGCGGTCTCGACCGTGCTCTTTGAGCACAACATCCCCGTACCGCTGACCTTTGGCGGGATCAACCTCAACACGTTTGGTATTGGACGCCTAGCTGCCAATTCTGGCGTCATATTCCTTCGCCGCGCGTTTCAGGACAATGACATCTACAAGGCGACCTTCCGTCGGTATGTGGACTATCTGGTTGAAAAACGCTTCTCGCTCATTCACCAACTGGCAATAAGAGGATCATTTGGTACAAGTCCTTCCGCGTGGGCTCGTTCGTATCAGATTCACACAGATTCAAACCGAAGCACACATCGGACCAAGAAATCAACCCTGGCGAGTGGCGGACGTGCCCGCCAGGTGCCAGGGCTCAGTTGGATTTGCCAAGTGCCCAATCTGAAAATTATCGTTGAGAGACCATCTACATGGGATCACTGACCATGTTTGAAGGGGTTCCAACCCTTACATTTCATAGCCACATTCCGGTGTTGGTGGAGTTCGGTCCTGTTTCATTCAGGGAACCTAAAAGAGACCCCAAGAATGAAAACGCGGCTTGGGCTTGGGTTCCTATCACTTGAGCATGCCCATGGAAGGCAGCATGAGTCCAGCATGAGGCATGAAACATCCATGCAGTACTTACAGTCTGCATGAAAGCCAAGACACCTGATTTAGGCATTAGGCATGAAAGGAACCCCTATCTTGCGTGCTTAGCCGGAAAGGCTGCCCTCCTTCTGGTTGTTGATTTCAAACAGAACCCGCCTGTCAATAAAAGGAACAAACGCAACAAAGAGGGAGAACGGAGGGAGAGCCGCCATTCTACCGACTCTGAGTGTAAAGAATACATCTAATAAACTTGCAAGAAAACCTCGAACTCGGCTGGAAGTGACCCACTTTCACTCCCATGCCATTCGAGCATTCCCAAGCCAGGGCCCGGACTCAAAGCGTCGGCCTAGTCAAGCCAGTTGAAATGAAACCCATGGTTGAGGAGCATGGCGTTTTGTAGTCAACAGTCTTTCTTGAACTTTAACGAACCAGAAGGGTTGATGTTCAACAAAGGTATTAAGGGGCGAAACCATCCTGTTTTCTTTCGGCTGATTTCGAGGTAAACCCGCCAAACGGAATTCGGTGCACAATCTATCCAGTGGAAACAATCACATGTTGCAATGTAACAATTGTGTCTGGGGAGTGCACTGATTGGTGAGATGCGAGGGTCCAGTTTGGATTGCTGTGTTTGGTGAGATGAGGGGTTTCAGAACTCGATATCTGCGAGCTGTAAATCGACCAAGGGGTTTCAACCCGAAGCCACGAGAGGTCTTGACTCATGCGTGTTCTGCACAATGGGTGCCTTTTTGCGGGATGGCGGGCTTTCATGTCGGCTTCCTTTTAAACTACAAAAAGAGGGGTATCCTCAAAAAGCGACATACCCAAATATATTTCGGTGAATCATAACAAATCGCCAACCCTGTGGAAGGAGCCTTTGTCATGGGTGAGGTCGCACAACGAAGCCCTTTGTGAGGTCCAACTCGAGGCACTTTCGCTGGGCTGTCACCTGCTGGTTAAGGCTAGGCGAAGCTCCAGAGTTCCAACGGATTTCTTGACTTACTTGAAATATTGGGGCTGGTATCCGCTATGAAGCAAACAACCTATATACTGCATGGTTGTTTGACTTTTAGCCACTCGCAAATTGCGAGATGTATCCTCGGAACGAGATTCGTCCTTCCCCAAGAGGGCATTGGAGAACTTGCGTGGCCACAAGTCTGGGGAATTGGGTGTCCCCCTTGCTCATCCTCCGAAAAAGAACAATAGACTAGACTAACACCGGCGTCCGATTGAAAACTTTCGAAGTCGGCCCCAAAGTAGGTGTTGAGGAAATGATCACCCCCCCCCCCCCGGTTTGACCTTGATAACCCCAGGAAAGTCGCAAATCATGGGTACGGGCACGAAACTGTTCAGATGCCCGGATCTTGGGCCTTCCCCTCTCGTAGAACTGCTGCCAGCTCCTGGCCGGCAAGTCGGCAACTGGCCGTTTCTCCCAGGAGTGTGGACGAATCCAAATGCAATAAAGCTATCAAGTTCACCAACGTGCGGTTTCAAACGCATGTCACAAAGCAGAACAAACGAGAGCTCAAACCAAAAACTCGCGCAAGGGCTTTCAGTCCAAACGCCTTAACGCCTCACCCCAACGCTCTAATGTCCAAATACCCCAAAGCCTCAACAGAACAAGGTTGATGTGGGGAGAGAGGACGCAGCCCCGATCAATCCACCCAATCAAGGCCTTGAGCGCCATGGCCAGTGCCTGCACTGCGTTGGATTTGTTTAATGTCAAATGTTGACGGGAAAACATGTTGTGCAAACAAATACTACACCAGTTGGAATGGATGGAACTCTAGGACTACCGGAATGAGCCACCTACCAACTGGTGCAGGATCACAGACCAGGCAGCCATGAGTTTGGAGGGCCCTTCTTGCTTAATGTCTGCCTGGCTAAAATGGTCAAGAATCGTTTCGGAATGCTAAACCTAAAATATTAGAGAATCATGACAAACTGCGAAAAGCCGTCGAGTCTCGGGACGAGTTAGCCTCCCACCCTTTCAATGTAGAAGTTCGCAAAGGTTCTGTTTGGAACAGGTATCTTGCGTTGAGCTCCATTTTGACTGAGTGTACACATCAACTCGCACCAAGGGCCGCTCTATATAGCGAACTTGTGAACTCAGGCGCCTCCTATTCCAGCCTGCGCGTATGGCTTTGCATGAGTCAAACTTCTTGAAATTGGTGCGTGAATCTGCAATTCCCTATTCTGGGCAAGCGGCAAAAGGCCGCCTGCCTAACTGGATTCGGAGGCCGGGCAAGGGAGGCATTAAAATGTTGAGAAGGAGGGTGGTGCCAACTTGTGCAAAAACGAGCACTTCACGCAGCAAAGCCAGCCTCATCTGCTCCACCTTGCTACAGTTCTCAACCAGGGAGGTTCGGGAAGACATCTGAGCTAAGGGAACATTCGAGCGCCAAGCTTTGGGAACAGGAAGGTTGCGAGCCTTAGAGACTTTGACAAGAAATAACGAATTGTTCGAAATACAGCAAGCTACACCAGAGCATAGCCCTGCCCAGCCTGCACATGGGTCGTGGTCAGATCCAATGCTAGAGTGTATTTGATAGGAGCAGTGATCAACGCCTTACCCAACAGCAAGGTATTTGTGTCAACCACTGTGAAGGTAAGCATTGCCATCGCTCGGACAGTATCTAAGAAGGCGCGCTTCGTCTAACTGGAACCCGCACATCTTTGTGGTAGCCACAAGATAAATCGGGTGAATCTTTCGAAGGGCACTCCAAAAGTGAAACGAATCCCCGACTTCCAACGCCTTCTTCCAACGCCTTCTTCCCGCCCAGTCAAAATCAACTAAGGGGTGCGGCTTCCCAACAATCCTTCGTGCCAGCGACTTGAGATTCATCAATCCCGTGGCGGCCCGCGTGCCTTTGGACATCCTGGTGCCGACTGGCATGTGACGCTTGGAAGCCTTGCTGCTATTGCTGTGTCTTCCTGCGTGAGGTCCGCAATGGGAACCTCAAAGAAGCCGCCCCGGTTGATTTATGTTCACTTCAACTCAAAACGGAAGACCCAAACAAATCAGTCTCGACTAAACATGAAAATCACCGTTGATTCAGCTGTAGCAGCTGTAGCGGGTGCATTCTGCAGGAAGAAGGAGCCGTCTTGATTTCCGGCACCGCGCTGATTCGCCCAAAGTCTACACGAATTCAAACCCATAGTCGCAGCTCCCCATTTGAAGCTTAGCCATGCATCGTCCTAGTCAGCCCCTTGCAAGAAAGGGGCTCTCAATTCATATGCCACATGTAACTTTGCTACTTTGCTGACTGGTCAACAGCGGCAGGATCGCAAGCAATTGGAGCCTCCCAAACCAAATAACACTGCATGTCCATATCACAGGCCCCTTAGGGGGCATTCAAGGATCATCACCCATTATCTTTTGGGATAGCCTGCCCACCATTTAAGGGTCACAATCCAGAATCGCAAAGCTCCTGAAAAGCAATGCAATGTGCTCATAATTTCGAAAGCTAGAGATGCCATCGCCAGCATCCAAGAGTCGAGTGTGTGCACCTTGCACCGGATCCCAT